TTTATGTTTTTATTTCAGTCAGCTTGAAAACATGCTAGTAAACATGCAAACATATTGTAAAGGTTTAAAATTCGGGGTGTATATACATATATCAACAGGAGTTATGAATTATGTATATCTGAGCCTATATAAATTAGATTTTGAAGAACAAGCATCAGAGTACTCAGGCAGGTCATAATAAGAGATTCCATCTGAAATGTAGAAACTACCTTGAATAAATTATCCATAAGTTAACACTCTCATTACAATGACATATTTATTATTTCTGGGTTGTGATGTTCCTTTAATGCACTCTGATTAACTGTTCTAATGGCACTTTAAGAAATCATTTCAGATTTTTTCCCCATTGAAATTTAGCACACTTTATTTACATTTGAACTAAAATAATTTAAAATAATGCAACATTAAAAACAATCACCCACTTCCCAATGTAGAATACCATTTTCTTCTGCCCAGAAACATTTAAACAGGATATAACTTTAGTAATATTTTCACACCGAATGACTCTAAAATTAATAGTCACTTGTAAGACTGTTTAAAAATTGGGAGACTGACAATGAAAACAATCTTAAATGCTTTGTTTATGTGATGAAAAGGAGTGATCCTTTAATTCCCTCACACACATTAAACTGATTTCACAGAGTTTCTGTACTGGTGTTTAACATAGTCAAGTGCTTGAGGTTACAAATGAATAAACAATCTTGAGATCTTATTGCAAATGTTTGCAATTTATGATGTAAACTGATTTGTGAAAAAATAACAGGATCCATGTCACTGAAGCCAAAAAGACATTTTTCAGAAATCAAAATAGTTCCGAAATTTGAGCACTGCGTTATAATAAAGTATTACCATCTGAGGATCTACAAAGTTTGTAAGTGTGGGGAAAAACTCAAAATAGATATTTATCAATTCAGCTTCGAGCAAAGGCCTCAGATCTTACCGGGCCCTTCTGTATCATAAGGTCCTTAATACTAATGTCTTGGATAATCTCTTTTAACTCGGTTTTCCCCTGTCAGGGATTTTGTACCTCGGGAAGGTTTTGCACACCTTGAAAGATGGGGGCGGGGGGGAGGGAGTGGCGAAATCTCTATTAATTATTTATTACGATTATTGAGTTTCTACCAAAACGACGTGCATGTTGGGCCTTATTTGAATTTAAAGTGAAGATTCTTCGGACCCTTTCTCAGAGTGACTGTGGAAACCCTGGGTTTGGAACCTCTCTCTTACACACCCAGGCGCCTGCGGGCAAGTTTGGGCGGTGGCGCGGGGGACCGCCCAGGGGGAGCGTGCGTGGGAGGCCGGGCCCGAGGGACGCGGCCCCACCCGCCAGGAAAGGCGGCCTCGGCCCTCGCTGAGTCTCGGGAGAGCAGACATCCCAGACGCTGGGTCCCACAGGCCGCGCCCAGCTCAAGTACCGCCGACCGGGCCAAGAAACTGGCCTTTCTCGCCTAGCCTGGCCGCTTCCGCGGGCTCCCCGGCCTTCCCCGCTCCCGCCCGGCCCCGGGCCCCGCGGTTGCGGCGCCCAGCCCACCCGGCTCCTGCTGCCGGGAACGTTCCAGGCCGACCTAGGCCGTGCTGCCGCGCCCCCGTCCTGGTGACCCGGGCTTCGCCTGCCGGGGCCCAGAAGTACATGCTTCCTTTGACCTTAAGCTTCCCCTGAGCTAAGCTGCGGGGACAGGCTGGGTTTCGCGTCGGACGTAGGCTGGACCCGGGACGGAACATCTAACTCCCCGGGCCCCAAGTTCTCCCGTGACCTCCGACTTCCCTTGGGGTGCCCGTAGAAGTGTCCGAAACCGCGTGGGGGGCTCCAGCAGGGTTGCAGCTGGGAGCCTGCGTGTTCGGACCCTTGGGCCCGGCGCCGACTGGAGCTCGCCGGAGGCCACCCCGCCAAGGCGGGCGGCTCGGCGCTGCCGATTCAAGGTGCACCCCGCCCCTAGGTAGATGTTTATTAGGAAAACTAAGGACAGCTAAGAGACCTGTCAACTTGTCAGCTAGGAGACTTGCAAGGTCTGGGCGCTGAATACGGCCCAAGTCCTGTTCAGTGGTCTTTGAAGGCTAAAAAGATAAATATAAAGATATAACTCACGTCTACTCAGACGAACAGCTTTGAGTGTGCGAGCTCAACCCGGGAGAAGCCCGGGTGGGGACGACGGGAGCACTACTGGAAGACGCGGGGCTTTGTCGAAGGGGTGAGGGGGGTATGCGTCCTCCGGCCCAAAGAGGGCCCCAAGGGACACTCAGGACACCCTTGATTATCTCGGAGGATGCCCCCATCCCCAGAACCCGCGCGGAAAAAGAAGGTCCTGTCCCTGGCCTGGCCGGGGCCGCGTCTTCAGAGTCTCTACCCACCCCTCAACAGGCAGCGCCTTCGGGTTTTACTAGTGAGATTTCTTCCGGGAGAAAGGGGCAGGGAGAGGCGGGAGGGAGGGAGGGTATCCCCGGTATTCTAAGGACGGCTAGGACCCGGCTTTTCCTAAATAGGGCCCTTGCTTCTACCTTTTCCTAGATTTAACCAACGAAAAATCTGCTTGGGCCAAAGCGCTAAATTGGAGTGTGGAGGTGGGGGATCCGCCCTTCCCAGAGCCCCAATTCCCCTCCGCGGCTTTTACCCACTCCCGAACCTTCATTGCTTGCTTGGGGAGGGGCGTCGACCAGGGATCGAGTGTCCATTATGCCACAATTAATCCAGGTAGATTTCGCACCGTGTGATCCCGCTTCTTTCTCCCCAAACTGCTCCCCGAAAAACTTCAAGGGTGGAAGTGCATCAAAATGAAGAATGAGAGTTTGTCTTAGGGAGTCTATTTTATCTTATTTTACATATTATCTGTTCCTTTATTGATTTGGTGTAAAATCAATCCTGTTTCTACGCTGGGTGGATGAAAAGGGGGTGGGGGTTGCGCTCAGCGATATCTAGAGCCACAGAGCCACCATTCTCACGGCCCCTTAATAGCTGCAGGTAGAAGCAGAGGCAAGCGCTTTTCTAAGTTGATGTAGTCGAGAGAGAGATACACATTAATCAAAAAGGAAGAAGGAATGACTATCCCGGATAGTTTAATAGTAACAGGAACAAAGATGACGCGAACCCCATCAAATGAAACAATACTATTTTCATTCAATTGATCGCAAAGTGTCTTCAATTAATAACTTGGCACTTATTTAAAAGGTTTAACAGAGGTGAAATCGAAACATTTTGTACCAACAACACATCATGAAATAACAGCATCTTCTGTTTAAAATAACTTAATACACTAGAAAAAAATATGGCAAATATAAATAACTTTGTTTTCATGGAGAACAAATAGTTACAAAGCTCAACCGCATACCAAAGTTCAGTTAAAAGAGCTTTTCCTCTTTCTTGTAAATTAGAAAGAAAAAAAAAACTAAGGAGGCTTTCTAGTGATTGGGATACAGATTGCTTAGTCCAGGGTACCCCAGTTTAAATAGTTACATGAATTGAAACAAAAAAATTACTTGAATATACACCTTTGTGAGACAAAATGCAAATGTTGAAATTCAACCATCAGTTCACACATTATAGCCAAAATAAACTTTGTTCGTGTGTATCAACATATTTTACACAAACCTACTGCCTGTATCTAGTTGGGTATTATTTAAGGTGAGTGTGACAGGATAGAGAGGGGGAAATAAAGCAAGGTTCCCAAATAGGACATCAGGAAATCAGCAGGAGGGAATACAAGAAAGGAGGAAGGAGAGGGGACTATCATTGATTGAGCGCCTACTATGTGCCAGGAGCCGTGTGAGGCGCTGTACCTTTATTATTTCATTTGGTCTTCTTTTCTTTTTCCTTTCCCCACATTTTCTGCCTGCCTCCGTCTTCTTGGGACAGAGTGTAAACTTTTTCCCTTCCGACCTTTTTCTTTTGTCCGACAGGATCAAAGACGGGACAAAAATTATAGATTTCATATACATCAATTTCCAGATGCTTTTGGTATTGTTTTTCGTCCTGAAGATGAAAATGGAGTAAGTGCATGTGAGTAAAGCAGGGAGCAGGGAGACACCATCAATGGAATACAAGTAACATGCAAAACCGGAATTTACTGTCAGCAGTCTGGACAGTGCTGCCATAATAATTTCTCAGAGAAATCATTGTCTGTCCTAACATTTTTTGTATTAATATCATTTTTTTCCTCTCCTCGTTTTTATACTGTCTTCCCTCTTCTTACTCTTCCATACGTGGTGGTTTTTAACTCAAAGCATCTGATTCAACGTAAAAGGAGGCCCGCCTCTCTTATCAAATTTCTTGTATTAAAGTGAACTTCGCAGAAAAAGGTCAGTTTCAAAACCTGTGAACTTCCCAGCTGCGCACTTTTTAAATCTTAATTCTTTAAATAAGTATACCTCTTCCTTCTGTTTTGCCTTTTTTAGCCCATTAAAAAAAACATACACTTTAAGTTGATACTCCCCCCTCCCCAGTTCTCTCGAGATTCGTCCGGGTTATTTTTCCATATTTTTAAATGTATAAAATACTTTAATTTTTAAAATTTGTTTTTGTTCCTTGGTTCTTTCTCCGGTTTCAACTTCTGCCAAACAGCAGTAAGTTCCCTTTCTCTTTTTTCTTTCTGGTTTGTCTTTTCTACTTTTTTTTTTTTTTGCTCATTTTTTATTAACAGGATTTTTATTTCTACGCAAGAGTCCATCGTTGCAGCTTTGCCGTGAGCCACACTCCGCTGTCCCAGCGCTCCCTTGTTCAGTCTCTCTCCAGACTTCCCGAAACCTTGCCCCTATGAAGCCGAATTCTACGCCTTGGGTAGGTGAATGGTCAGGAGCCACAGAGCTGGTGCGCCTAGTGGGATCCAAGGTCCCGCGCGAGGTCTCGCCCTCCAAGTCCGGGATGTGGAAGGCGGCAAAGGCCGATCAGCGGGGTGGAAAGAGGGTCGGTTCCGGAGGTCCGGAGGGGTTAAACGGAAAAGCAGCGGGGCACGGAGGATTTGCAGGGTGCGTGCCGCGCTGGAGGCGCAACGTTGGTGCTGGCGTTGGCGTCACAGACCCAGGGCGGCAGCGTGCTTTTTGGCTTTCAGTCTGAGATCGGCGATGCTGGAGTTCTTGCTGGTGGTCTTGGCTGCGGCGGCGGCAGCCACCACTGAGGCGGCGGAGGCTGAGTCCGCGGCGAGCGTGGCTAGCGGCAATCCGAAGGGCGGCGCCGGGAACATCATATAGGGCGCGTGCGCGGCCAGGTGCGGGTGCAGGTGGTGGTGCGCGTGCGCCACGGCGCTGTCCAGCTGCAGCTGCGCCTGAACCTGAAAGGACAAGGGCGTCACGTTGCAATGACTATCCTAGGGTGACAACAGAATAGAAACAGAGCATTAACGGCGTCCAGCTTGGCGAGGGGGAAGGCTGGGGCTGGGGACAGGAGAGGGGAGTTTGGCTGACCTTCTCAGTCTGTTACTGAATCTGGGGCGCCACAGGGATACTCCGGTGCGCCAGAGTCTCTGCAACTCTTCAGCACGCCTTATCTCCCTTGGCCCTAGGGGACTCCTGTCTGCAGGAATGTGGCCGCCCCCCACGGGAGCTGGGCCCATCAGAGGGCAACATTGCTATTGTGTTAAAAACATCGCCCTCCTCAAAATTACAAAAGTAATTTGGAAAGGCTCTCTTCATGTCATCATACACCTCTTACCCATTAAAGCACTGAAGTACTAACAAGCAAACTATAAAACTTTTCCCTCTCACTTGGGGAAATTATTGCATCTTCATCACAATTGGCACAATTGTTAGTACTTCTAACCTTTACTGCTATAACAATTACCCTTGTTATAAAGCAGATCTTCTCAAAAATGCAGATTCTGATTCAGAAAGTCTGCATTGGGACCTGAGATTCTGCATTTCTAAAAATCTCCCAGGTGGTGCTGGTGCTGCAGGCCTCCAGATCACTTTCTGGGTAGTAAGGGTCTCCTTTTTAGATCCCACTCTCTCTCCAATCATTCTCTCTTGCTTCAAAAGCCTAGCATTGTGATGCTAGCTAGAGTCCTGTGGTGCCAAGAGAGCTAAGATCTCCCTAACAGTAACCGTCAATACATGGGTACACCCGTGTGTCTCCCCAGTCCAGGGTGCTGCCAACTGAGAGCTATTTCTTGACTTCACAGCCCTACCAAGCAGGGGTCCCAGCTGAGGAGGGGGAAGGTCAGGCACTGGTTGGGTAAGGATTGAGCCCTTAGGCTTGGAGAGCAGGAGTGTTCAGAGCCCTGGGATTTCCCAGGATTAAATCATTGCTGCAGGCTGTCCTTTTAAAATGTAGTCTTAAAGGTTTCTTTATGCCTAAGAAAGGGATTGCAGAGGCAGGGCATCCCTGGGAAGACCAAGGCTTCCCTCTCTACTAGAGATGAAGCTTTGTTTGCAGAGACAGGTTTAAAAAATCAAGTATGAGTTGGAAGTACTTTTATTTATTTACTTTTCTTTTGCCAGAGACATTTAATGTGACTAAGAGGTAGGAAATACCTAGAAAAATATTTAGAAAGTTGCCTTAGAAAACACCTTAGGACTAACCTCTGTAATGGATCTGACAAAATCTTAATCAAAAGGCTTTCCCTTCCTCTCCCCAAGTGCAATCTTTAGTGCATTTTTAAAGGACCAGTTGCTGGCCTCAGGCTTCTGCAGGTTTCCCATGAGGAAAGAAAGGACTAGGCATGTAGGCCCTTGACATTTTATAGGTTTTTAAAGGGGAGTAGATTCACTATATCATCTCAAAATTATTCTTCAACCACATGGACACCAACATGGGACCCAGAGAGAGGGTATATTCAACAATTCAAGCAAAATCCAGGTCTTTTTACAGTTAAAAACAAGATAAAACTGGGCTATACTTGCCTGCTGAAATGGCATCCTTAAAGCACCTACGTTGACATAGGGCGCAACTCTACAAGCTTCAAACTGGCTGGCAGCCCCTATGAGAACACCTGTAAGAAAATGGGGAACAAAACACAATAATGTGAGGTTAATATTTCCAGCACTGTTTTCCAGGGTTCCAAATGATACCAAGATAGAACAAATTCCTTTGGAATTGGACTGTTATCTTCCTAAATAGCTGCCATAATTAAAATAAATGTAATGTACTCCCAAACTTTAGGACTCTCATTAACTGCCTTCAGAGCAGATTTTTAAATAGAGACCATGATTATCTTTCAGAGTTTCTTTCTGACTTTGTATAACAATATTACCCAGTTCTCTTTTTACTTAGAATATCAGATGTCCTTTGAGAAGCATACCTTTATGGAGTTGATTTTCTTGTTTTCTACATTTTGCTCTTCGATTTTGAAACCAAACCTACAAATTGGAAAAATAAAATAAAACCTAGATGTTATGAACTCCTTTAATTACCAAAGTACAATGAAAAAACAGTAGTGTTTTAGGCAAGGATTGAGAGATATAGCAAGCAATATTTGAATTATAAAAAACACTCTCAATTTCCAAAGTCAAATAATGTAAATGAATGACAAAAGTAGATTTCATAGACTTTTGCAAGATAAATTGTTTCTTGATAAATTACTATTAGTCCTGGTTTCATCTTTCTACATTATAGAGTCCCCAAGGCCTAAAAGTCTCCATGATACCTGATACTAAAGTGATAATGGGTTTAGATGTTTGCCCAGTAAGACCTGAGAAGAATGTGCTCATTAATAGCCTGTAATATTAATTAGCTTCATCTTCAAGAAAAACCAAACACCAAAGCAAATAGTGACTCTGTTTTTTTTGGGGGGGAGTGGAGATAAGAGTGGGGGAAGAGGTAATTAGTGCCATAAAAGCCTCACTACAAAGAAGTTTAGGATTTCTCTGTTCCTCTGTGCAGCAGAGTGTAACACAGTAGCAGAATAATTGTGCCATTATCATGATAATCTAATTTGCTTCTATAGAAAAAAATCTACTGCTTACATTAGGGTAGTAGAAAATAACCCTAAAATTTAAAGAAAGGTATGAAAAAATAAAGACCAGTAATAAAGTTCATTTCTTATGAGAAAAAAACAACAACAATAGTTTGTGTAAAGGGGAAGGTAGGAAGGTATGAATCAAGTAACTCCTGGAAACTGTCTTCTCCCAGATATTACCTTCTTAAATAAACTTGCCAACTTTTAGAGGCAGTATGACAGATTTTTAAAAATTCATACAAAGCTTGCTTTTACACTCCAATCATACAGCATTATGTTCCAATAATACAGCATATTGACTGATTCACAAATTAAGGTTTGAAAAAAACTATAAAAGAAAAATACTGCTTCAGAGCTTTTTCTTGTTTTTGAAAGCAAGTGTCATAGTCAATGTAAATCTTCAAAAATTCCCCTGCCATTTAGTGTAATAGAAGGGGAGATTTCATGCCAGGGTGGCATCCTTTGTATAACTCACATGGCCTGAGGCTTCTTGCCTCTTTTTTCCCCTGGAAGAGTTGGAACTGAGATACTAATGCTCATAACTGTAATAATTATCATCGTGTCTTTAAGGGGTTGCTGAGTCTCTAGAGACTTCAGTACACACAGCAAAGCAGCAAAGGCTTAAAAAGGAAGAGCAGAGCCTTCTATTGAGGGCTGTGATGACCAAGGCAGCCTATTATTACTTTTCCGCTTCAACGTGACTGCTCTGTTTTTGTCCTGATCCTATTACAAGATGCGGGGAAGCCCCATAAGAATTGCATAGTTTGCTGCAGATGGTGGTCTCTCCGCCCAGAGACCCCGGGAGTATCTGTTACAGTGATACTTTGTAACAGCTGCAGATGTTCAGGCCTAAAACTGCTCCATGTGTTCAAACAAATAATGACCATCATTTTCTCCTATTTTATTATTTGAGCGGAAATACAATCTGAAACATTTAAATGTTTTCTCCATAAAAGTAGAAGGATATATATGCATCTATATATATGATTTTCTACCTTGAATGCCCCCCCCAAAGCCTATTGCCATTACTTTCACCCCCACAACCAGTAAGAAGACAAAAAATAAAAAAACAAAAAACCGGCTCCAATCCTAACTTCATCATGTAAGGCATTTGTTGGGTGTTGGACTGTGGGAATGCCAATATTAAGATAGTGAGTTGTTTTAAAATCAAGTTTCTGTAGGTTCAGGTTTGCTGTCTTGGTTAAGTGAGAGAACAAAGAGTGAACAAAATGCATTTATTTCTCTACTGTTTTACACACAGTTTGGGATCGACTGCTAACGGCAAACTGTAAATTTCCACACTTAACAGTTGCTAATTTTCTTTATAGTCTGTACATCTATAAACCTAATTGGCATATCCGCTTGGCAACCCTAGACCCCGGAGCAGGCCCTCAAGGAAAACCAACTCAGGCGAACAAAATATTCGTTGTAACTTTTAAGGCATCCAGAAGATAAAACGTTTTCTGTGGGATTTTTTTTAAGGCTTATAAAAGTAGGCCCATTAGGATTAAACCACATTAAAGGCATCGTAAGGCGAGGGGGGGGGTGTGGTTTATAGAAACTCTGGGAGCAAGCCCAGCACAGCTTTCTTCTGCTGGGAACATATGTTGGGATGGGGTGGGGGTAGGCTACAAGACTAAGATTTGCTTTGGAAAATAAGACCTCTAGTAAAGATATCTCTTCCCTTCTCACCTCACTCCAGACTCTTGAACCCGTGCCCTCAGTGTGTGTCTCCCAAGCTGCCTCTCTAACCCCCGAGTGCCCCTCCTCCACTCCCCGGGCCCTGCCTTGACCTCCTCACAGCTGGATACCTGCACTCGGGCTTCGGACAGCCCCAGCCGTTGGCTCAGTTCCTCGCGCATGAAAGCGTCCGGGTAGTGGGTCTCATCAAAAAGCCTCTCCAGTTCGTTGAGTTGTTCCAGAGTGAAATTGGTCCGACTTCGCCTCTGCTTGATTTTGGTCTGGCCTTCGTCCTCCATCCCTTTCGCATCCTCTTTGCGATCCTTCAGCTCTGGGGACACTGGAGGGGGCACCACAAATAGAGCCACGGGTATGTCCACGTGCGCACACAGAAACACACACACACACACACACACACGGACAAAAACAACACAGCAAATCCTGTTACCAGATTTGTCTCCAAAAGGATGGAGGATCCTGCCCCCTCCTGGAGTTCCTGGCCAGTCCCTCACCCTGTCCTGAGGAAGAGGATTCTGGAGACGCGAAAAGATCAACTCTGGGCGGCCGCCTGCCCCCGGCTATTCACCCACTCACCCCTTCGCAACTGTAGCCGCAACTCACCTCCTCACTGTCCACTCCACCGTCCCCTGCCCTCCCCCGCCAACCCCAAATCCATTCCACTCAACCTCTCTCGCGCTCACCCTCTCGCACGCACAGAATCAAAAGCACCGCGCCCGGCCAGACACAGAACCCGGTCAGGGCAGAAGGGCGCGTCGAGGCCATGCGCTGGCCTCTCACCGGCAATTCCCAGAGAGCTGGGCCATTCTCAGGCCAGCTCCGGGCACCGCTGGCTCTCTGTTTCTCTCAAACTTGCTGCTCTAATTTGGGAACAATTGGGTCCAAGGGTCGCAGCGGCTGAACAAGACCCGGGTGCTGAGCGGTACTGGGAGCCGCATCTCAGGGCTTTCGATGCTGACCCGGGGCTCAAGCCTAATCCTGCGGAAGGCCCACGGGCGGCCAGGCAGTCCCTATCCCCCATGCCGGACACTGGAAGCCTGAGCAGAGGCGCCCACGCCATGTTGACTGCCTGAAGGGCTTGCGGCTCACGCCAGGCCAAAAGGCGAGAGGCAGAAAACTAGCTTCGCGAGGCGCGCGAAATAGACCGCTGCCTCTGTTCTCTCCTTCTTCCTCCCCATTGGAAAGGCGGACTCAACCCTAAATGCTTAAACCCACAGAGATCAACAGGTTCAAGTGGAACATTCGTGATCCTTGGTTTCTATTGGTTGCTCAAAGCCTTTTCATGCATCCAGCAGCTCGGTTGTTTAATAAAATATGCATTTTTTCTCGGCTTTGGATTTGCACACATCCGTTGCTACTTTACTGTCCTTCCTTCTCCTCCCTTTAAAAACAGGAGCTCTGCGAATGTGAGCATACAGAGTCACCCGAGGGATAAGGATATATATGTGAATATATATGTATATAGGCCAAGGGGCAGTGATCAGGGGAGCCCATATCAACATAAGCTGCCCTCTGGAACCTTCATCCTCTGCGCCTGAGTCGGAGCCTTGGGTTTTTAAGGTGTCAAAGCTGAGTTTGGATAGTCGAGAGGCTGTTTGCAGTTATTCCTAGCCCAGGATCCCGATCAGCATGGGTGTTAAAAATCATTTCCGGAAGAGCCGGCCTGCAGAGAAATTAATACTTGTCCTGAGCTTGGAAATCAACAATCCCAGGACTGTGTCTGCCCGGGTTCAGACCCTAACCGCGCGATGCGGCGGGCTGGTGTACCCAGGGCCTGGAGCTGCAGACTCACGCCCGGGAGTGAGGTCTGACAGTTGTGCCATCATTTTCCAAATTTAGGAGGATCTGCTGCCTGGTCTGGGGGAAGAAGAGCCTCTAGATCCCAGCCCAGTCTAGCATTCTAGCTATGGTGATCTCAAGTGTTGCCCGCATTTCTTGTACTCAGAGTTCGTTTTATGGACATTTGTCCTTCCGCCGGGGAGGAAGCGGATAACATTATAGCAAACATTCGGAGCCAAGTTAATAAGAAAATATTTGCACAGATATTGTAATGAAATTTAAATATGAAAACACATCCTTCAGATTCTACCAAAGGGTTGAGAAGGCTTTGTCTATTTCGTGTCATCCACAGTGGATGCCTCTCAAACTTTTGGAGCTTCAAAGAGAAAGATGTCCACATTTCTACTTGATTAATAGACTTAATAGACTCTATTTCGCCCCCAAATTTCCATTTATTGGCCTAAACAGGAACAGACCGTGTTATAAACAACTTAATTGCTTGCTTAAATATGTGATTCTACGCATGTCACATATTTTCTTAATTGGAAAAATATGGCAGCACACCAGTTACTGCAGGCACCAAGTGCCAGATTAATTTTATTGTTGAACTCTTTTAAATTGGTACAGGACGCTCCACCATCTAGATAAAGCCATTTCCTAACACTTTGCTGGCACCAAAGGATTCCTCACCACCCCCCTCCGACAAAACCAGAGTACTAAATGATTCGAAACAGCAATGTAATTGTGTAAATATCGAAAAACCAACCAAAAAAAAAGAAGAAGAAGAAGCCTAACGCGTCTCCAGAGAGAAACAGCCTAGCCTGCTTGGCCCTGTTCAATCTTAATAGATCAAAGAGAATGAGAAGTTTTGACCTCCAAGATCCGAGAAGCCAGGATCTTCGTCGAGTTCGAGTGGATCTCAGCCGCGGCCCGAAACCCTGGGGCTACCCGAGGGTGAAATCTCTCTCTCCTCTCTCTCTCCTTCCTCTCTTTTTCTTTCTTTCTCAGGCCTAGGAAAGGGGCTCCCTCAAACTAGGCGCTAGATGCGAACCGTAATCCCGCCGCCTGGCCCAGCTGCTGTCAGCACCCCCGCCGCAGCCGGGCCCAGCGAACTTCCCAATCCTCCCGCTGGCCGTCTGGGCTGCCGGCCCATCCTCCGGCTGGTGAAATGCGCTACAGTGGAATGGGAATAGCGGGAGCATCTGAGAAAGACGCGCTCAAACCCCACGCCCCCCGTCTTCACATACACTCGGACCCCACCCACGGCCGTGCACACCACCGGACTTCCACCCCTCCATCATCACTCCAGCTTCCAAAGCTGGAGTCCAAGGGCCCTCTCCGCGTCCCGCCCCTCTCCCCGCTGGGCCTCGGGGTCCTCTCCCGCCTGAGAGGAGTCAGGAAGGCGGGAAGGGGAATCGCGGCTGGGGGTTTAGGCCGTTACCCTCGGTGAGCCGCGGGCTGCCCGGCTCCCTGCTTCTTTCAGCGGCGCCCATATCCAGCTCCCGGACGGGAGAGCGCCCTCCTCCAGCTCCTCCGCCTGCTCCTCCTCCTCCTGCACCTCCTCCGCCTCCTCCGCCTCCGCCTCCGCCTCCTCCTCCGCCGCCGCCTCCGCCGGCCGCCCGGACTGCCGGGCTGCTGCGGTCGTCTCGGCCCTGCTCGGAGCAGCCCGTCGGCTCCTTGGTCCCGCGCAGCGGCCCGCTCTCCAGCACCTCTCGGTACGTGATAGCCTCCTTCTTCTCCTTCACTTTCTGGTCAAAAGACTTAGAGACGAACGCCGTAAGTTCTTCCATCGCCGCCGATGCCGGTCAGCCCCGCGCTCAACCTCTCCCAGCCGAGCCCCGCTCTTTTTTTCCTTCTTCTTTTTTTACTGCTCCAGCCCCCCCAATAATAACACATCAATGGGGCAGGGGGTGGGGGAGGAGCTGGAGGAGGAGGAAGAAGAAGAAGAAGAAGAAAAAGAAGAGAAGAAAGAAGAAAGAGGAGGAGAAGTAGGAGAAAAAGAAGTAAGAAGAAGAGGAGGAGGAGGAGGAGGAGGAGGAGGAGGAAGAGGGAAGGGGCGGGGGCCGCCGGAGGGAAATGGGAACTGATGCTTCCCTGCCGGAGCGCGCTTGTTCAATGTTAAGATCTTTGACAATTCTTCCTGCGGAGAGTTCAGATCTGATAGCAATGCTGCGCTTGAAGTCTCACTATTTATACTTCGCAAAGGCGGCCCCTTGTTCTGAGTAAATTACCTCCCCTTCGCAACTCGGAGGGAGCCCCTTCCTGGGGAAGCACCCGCACCACTACCTGGGGGTGGGGGAGTGGGGGTTGGGTGGGAGGGAGGAAGAGAGGGAGAGAGGGAGAGGGAGAAAAAAAGAGAGAGAGAGAGAGAGAGAGATTGAGATTGATTGAGGCTGGAGTCCAGGCAGGCTGGAGCTGGAGTGGGAGGGCAGAGAAGGGGACGGGAGGGGGCGGGAAGAGGAGGCCGGTCCCAGGCCGTCCGGGTTTTCAGATAGCCTCGGCCGCCTGTGCTCCTGGCCATTAATCCAGGATTGACGAGAATCCCTAATTAATTTAATTAGGCGTGGATTTTGCGTTGGTGTCACAATTCAGTTAAACACTGGGGAGCTGAACCTACTCCGCCGGGGCGTGGCCAAGAGGAAACTGACAAGTGCGCGGCGGCTGGAGTCAGTCCGGTATCCGGACTCCGCATCCCACCCCACAACCTCGCACCGCGTCAGGGTGCAGCGCAACTGCTCCTCCCCGCCTTGCTGCCAGGCTTCCTTGACCTGCGTTAGGCGCCCGGCACCCCAGTTCCGTATCCTGACCCTGTGTCCCAATCCTACATCCTCGCTCCTCCCACCCTACAATCCACACAACCCGGCAACCTGGGTTCACAAACCTGCCCAGAGTCAGGGTCCTTTACGGCTTCCCAGCCCCGCGCGGCTCCTTAAGGACGCTTCCCGGCTCGCAGCCAGAGCTGAGTCTGGGTCTTCACTAAGCTCCTCGCCCCGGGGAGTTTGTGATTCACCCCACTACTCGCGCCCTGGAGCCCAAGCCGACACCTCTACAGACAAACCCAACTCGTACGGGCCAGCCTATTTAACATATTTCCCGAGCAGCTGTTCCCTGACAGATTCCATTTTAAAGTGTTTCCTTAGCGCTTGGTCAAAGGCAGCTTGACTTCGTTCCCTCTTTGAGGTCTCAGGATCCTGACCCCTTTTCCCTTACAACTCTCTGCACCCGGACCCCTCCCACAATTAACTACAGGAGTTCTTCTTTAGTATCCTCAGAAACATTCTAGTTGATTTCCTAATTTTGAAAAGCAAATTATTTCCTCCCTCTTTGAGTTTGGAAAAAATTCACGTTAAGTTTACACTCCATCTAATTTTACTTATCATGGACTATTCAAAAGAGGGTCACCAGGAGAAAGGTTTCTCCCCCCCCCGTCAAAGCCACAATTTAAAATTTTATTCCTGGACTATTTTCATCGAAATAGTTTGTTATATGGAAGTAACATCTATATTACTGAGTCATTTGTACTGTGTAGGAGAAAGCTTGCAGTGAGCAGTGTGGCCGTGTATATATCGCACACAAGAATATTTACATAGGAAAGTTATAATTACTTGAGTCTACAAACAAATATATCTCATCAAGTGTGGTTTGGGGGACATTTTCAAGTAGTATGAATATCAGTGCAGGTTTTCTTCTGATGTTAAAGGTAACTTGTTCATCTTCTTGGATCTGATACTCTCAGTAAAAATAAAAGCAACTACAGAACTTTGATAGGTATACTTCTGCCCATCGGTTAAGGCATGAAAAAGTTAACAGATAATTTGAGAACTGTCATCAAAGCAACCTGAGTCATTTGTAAAAAGAGAAAACAATTATAACAATGTATTAATGGTCCTAGAATATATACAGATAGAGGCTGTATGTATCTTTGTCATACTTTACTACTCTTCAGATTAAAATGTTCACATTTAGTGAATTTAAGGAAAATGAAAATCATACTTTTTAGAATGTTACTTTGCCTTTTTTTCTTTTGAATTCTGAAGTTATCCTTTGTTCTTCTTAAAACATTTATTGCTGCATTTAGGAGAAATAATTAAAATCTTTAAGTTTCCAGTAGCAATAGCTTTTAGGTATTAATGAATTACATGAGTGCTTGCTTCTATTTTATCACACTACAAAAGAGACTCAAATACTCACATTTTCCAAAGTTATATGAATTTAGAAACATGATTTTATACTTAGTCTTGGTTTACTACTTGTAACCACTTCAAATCTGATATTATCAGAGAGGAAAACCATAAATCTTTAATCCTTTGTGAAAATCCATTTTTCAGGTTATTTAACAGAATGACCAGGAACAGGGTCAGCTAAATGGATGTGGTGCTCAAAGAGCTCTGAAACTGAGGTGTTAAATATGTATTTACAAACAGCTCCAACATAACCACAGTTAGAAGTCTGGCAAGGGATCAGGAGACTCACTAGCTACTTTTTAAATTCCATATACTACTGAGCTTGAGGGAAAGATCACCATTTTAAGGGTGATCAGGGAAGGCTCAGACACAATCATTGTGTAATTGACACCAAATTGATTTTCCCATAGATTTTCCTGGCATATTGGCTTTTTGTATATATTTAGGAATAGTGGTGTTAATATCAGATGGGGCTGTGAGAAATCTTCAGTGTCTCACCACAGATTCCCACTGGTCCAAGGGAAGTTTAGTTAAAAACAACATCAACAAGGTTTTTTAAAATCATATACTAATAAATGCTCATGAAGTTCTAATGATGTTGTTTCATTAGATAAAAAATATTTTCTTGAGACAGCGTATTTCAAAATGTAGTTTAGGTAAAAAAAACATTGAATAACGTTTAGTTGACAGCCTGCAGACAGATACAGGAGTTCCAATAAAATTCAGGACCCCACCGGGCCCCCCAGCTCTTGAATTATTTAAAATAAACATGTAGTGTAGTAGTTAAATTTTAAAACGGTCCCTCGAAACTGGTTATTTAAGGTACAGTCATTTATTTTATTTATTTATTTATTTATTTAGGCATATTCTTTTTTATTTATTTTTTATTTATTTTTTAAGATTTTATTTATTTATTTGACAGAGAGAGAGAGAGAGAGAGAGAGACAGTGAGAGCAGGAACACAAGCAGGGGAAGTGGGAGAGGGAGAAGCAGGCTTCCCGCCGAGCAGGGAGCCCGATGCGGGGCTCGATTCCAGGACCCTGGAATCATGACCTGAGCCGAAGGCAGACGCTTAACGACTGAGCCACCCAGGTGCTCCAAGGTACAGTCATTTATGAGCAATATATTTGTGGAGGTGATTTTCACCCTCTCAAACCGTCAGCGGAAAACTGTAGTTTGGATATCATATCAGTTGTTGTGAACGAGCTGGTTCTCACAGTCGACCCAAACCAAGGCCAAGAGTTTATTCACCTCCTTTCTTTTTCTTACAGGTAAATAATGTAGTATGAGTTACAGAAAATGCTGAATCGTTGTAATTTCTATTGGTTTAAATAACAAAAAACCTATTTATTGAATTTCTCTTTCAGAAGAAACCTCGTCCCCCAGGCAGCCTTCTCCCCTTCCTCCACCAACCAGTTAACTTTAATGTGGGAAACTAATTTGCACCCAACCTGTGAATGCCTTCACCTTCAGGGTAGAAGAAACACCGATTTTAATGCATTTTTGCAAATAAATCATTAGAGTTTAATCACACATGACTCTATACAGACACAGTCCCATGATTTATTATCGTTGGGCTGGTTTCCTCCTCCCTGAGTGAGATAACCAATTTTGCTACGTGTGGTGTCTTAAACATAACTTCCTACGATGCAAATTTGTTTACTGATTATCTAAGACGATAGCGACGATTACTAAGGCAATAACACTTTTCAGTCTCCACCTTTATTGCTTTTTGGGAACAAGAAAATCAAATAAGCAAGCACGCAAACCCAACACCAAACAAAAAATTGGCGGCGTGACAATCTACTCCCTCGGCACTCCTCTAACTCCTGGCAGCCTCTATCGATGCACTCGGAAGCTCGGCTGACGCTGCCTGGCGCTGGAACCAGGAAGGCGGTGAGCTTAAACTGAAGCAAGTTCGGGGAACGGCATCGGCGCCGAGATTTGAAGGAACGTTTCTTGGTCTGTGGCGCTTGCAAGTCCACGGGAGGCGTGAGGCCGAAGGCCGCGACCCAGGTGATGCCGGCATCTGGAGCCCGGGAGGCGGCGCCTGCGGGCGCAAGGTTCCGAGGCCCTGCTCCGGCGAGAGGCGGCGCGGGGCCTGGCGAAGTCCGCCGGGAAGGCGGCGTGGAGTGGGGTTGGAGGGGGTGGGGGGTGGTGGCCGCGTGGCGTGCGGAGCGGCGCAGTACGCATGCGCCCCGCACCTGGCGCTTTCTGACCCCTGAAGTCCGACCTGGGGCCTTCGGGTGGTGGGTTGCTGTAGAGTGGTGCGCGGTCGCAGGCCTCAAGCTAGGCCTTCTGTCTGGTGGTGGTGAGGGAGAGTTAACTAGCTCTTCATTCCCTACACAACCTCACCTCCATCCGCATCCCCAGTCCCTGGTCCTCGATCACTGCTTTTGAGTTTCTGTGCTCATCTTGCAGTACGTGGTTGGTGCTTCGTCACTAGCTATAGGTAGGGTGGAGCAAGAGGGAGGCTGCAGCCTGGTGCATTCTACGCCACTCACTCTGCTGTCGGTGCTTGAGATCCACCTCTTTCACTCCCTATTCCCCTTCCTGGCTCGCTCTCTTGCTGAGAGATAGGTGGTGCTGGGTGAGATAGATTTTCTAACTTCCTGAACATATAAATATACTCGCACTAAACGCTCCCATTTCCTTGACTTCAGAATTTGTGGCCTTGTGGTCATATTACTACCCTTAGGGGCTACCTTAAGAGCACATGGCTGTCCTTAAACTCTGTTTACTTTGGTGAGAGGTTATAATGCACTATTTATACATGTTGCTGACTCTTGATTTTAGGTCAACCTTAACATAATTTCTACCTCAGGGGTTATATATATTTAAATGTACACTGGAAACCTAAATTTTTTGTTGTTATTGCGTTTTCAGAATTAGCACCAACCTATTAGAGTTTCAACTAACTAGGTACTGGGTATTTACATAAATCAAATATCTTTTGCGTTACAAAAAAGTATTCCAGCTGGCATCTTTGAATGTAGACATAAAAGCTCTAAGTGAAGGGGATATGCAGAATTCTCAGGTTTAAGGATTTGAACAGATATGACAGGTGCAACCTTGTGGGGAAACTGAGTATCCCTTCTAGCCTTAGAGTCTATAAATAATTCACTTTCTTTACAAGCAAAGATTTCCTGCCAAGTGATAACACTTTACTACTGTTATGTTCTTCAGTAAGAGAGCTAAAAATGTTTGAAATAGAAAAAAAAAATAAAGGCAGCTGGTACCTATTAATTGGCCTTACCAATTCCACCAGTCTTAGCAAAGAGTTGTGTTATGAGTTGGAAAACTTCTGTAATGACTTTGTTACAGTAGATGTATAGATATATTTTCTGCTTTCATTTTCAAACCATTGGGGAGAAAGTCTTATGACTGATAATGCTTTTTAAAAAAAGAGATGCTAGTCTACAAATTTTTAGTTATGATAGGAGGAGTGTTTTTGAGAATTCTGTATCTCTTTTTTGAATTTTGCTGTGTTACCTTAAATTAGAATTTTACCACAGATCTTTCTCTGCTTTTGCATGGTTTTGTACTTATTTGTGGATTTCTTCCTATGCTAAAATGGTATTAACCTCACTTTTACTTTACCTCTTTGAGGTGGATTTCCATTGACATGACTGTTCTTTTTTTTTAAGCCATGTGTCCAAGATTAAAAAAGTATAGTTTGATATACTAATGAATGAATAGTGGAGAAATAATTATAAACTGTCATGTTCTCTAGGAATCTTTGTTCTCTCTAACTGCCCGTTTTCTGAAAAAGGCTAACTGCTTCTTGAACCTTTATTAACTAGACAGAGGAACTACTCGTGTATGCCTTTGAGCTTTCTTTTGAATAACCACATCTTGGCTTCATGTCTTCAGTCAGTCACTTAAACTTTACAATGAGATGTTTTTGTAAATGGATGTTCTGCTGTAGTTGTTACCTGTCCTGGTTTCAGTTTTGTAGTGGGAGTATTTGGGTGAGGTTTGCAACCATGAGACTGTAATCAGGGAGTACTAGAAGACAGAGTGAGGACAGAAAACCAAGAGCTTTAAGAGTTCTGTACCTGTAGTTGCATTTTCTGTTTACAGGTAGATTGAAAAATTGTTAGCTTGTGGGGCTCCTAAAAATCTCTGCTCAGTTCATTATTGCCCTTATCCTGGGGGAGTGGGAGAGGGAGAAGCAGGCTTCCCGCAGAGCAGGGAGCCTGATGCAGGCCTCCATCCCAGGACCCTGGGGTCATGACCTGAGCTGAAGGCAGATGCTTAATGACTGAGCCACCCAGGCACCCCGAAAAGACAATTTTTGGATCCACCTCTCCTTTGCTTTTGTTCAGTTTTCTGAATAAGTATTTGAAGTTAACTATAATAAAGAAATGTAGTGGGCTTTTGCAGTCTCTTAAGATTGATTATACTTCAGAGTAATTTTTCTGGAGTGTAAATATATTACTTGAAAATATAGTTTGGTGGCATGGATTTTAAACTTTTTTTTTTACTTAGTGTCTCTAAGGAAGGGTTTTGTATCTACCATTAATTTTTCTGGGTTAAATGTAATCATTCTTCTATTATGGGTGAATTCTGTTGTTTGAAATTAAAACAGGAAGATTTATACCCACCTCCTATTCTCTTTTTTTCTCCATTCAACAAGATACATAATAAGATCTGTGTCCTTTTCTTTCTACTTCTTTATGCTTTATATAGGGACTTAATAAGCTGGGCAAGAAAGGAGAGTGGAAATAACTGTAGATACCTTAGAGCAGTGGTTTTCAAACTTTCTAGTTTTGGATTCCTTTACACTCTTAAAAATTATTGTGGACCCCAAGACCTTTTATCTACGTGGGCTATATCTATAAATATTGCCTTACTAGTAATTAAATGAGCAAATTTTGAAATATTTATTAATCCACTTAAAAATAATAAGCCCATTACATGGTAACATAAATAACACATTTGATATGAAATATAACTACATTTCCAAAACAAACTTAGTGAGAAAAGTGGCATTATTTTCCACTTTTGCAACTCTCTAATGTCTGGCTTAATAGAAGACAATTGGATTCTTATATCTCCTCCTGCGTGCAATCCATCGTGATGAGTTATTTTGATTGAAATATATAAAGAAGATCTGATTCACAAAGATATGGTATTGGAAAAAGAAGTATTTTAATAGCCTTTGCACATAATTACTTCTTTGATACTACACCAAAACTTGACAAGTAGTAGTTTCTTTCTTTCTTTCTTTTTTTTTTTTAAGATTTTATTATTTATTCATGAGAGACAGAGAGAGAGAGGCAGAGGGAGGAGCAGGCCTGATGCGGGACTCAGTCCCAGGACCCTGGGATCATGACCAGAGCCGAACGAAGGCAGACGCTTAGCTGACTGAGCCACCCAGGCGCCCCTCAAGTAGTAGTTTCTTAAAAGTTTGTTGTAATCTGGTATTTGAAACCATGTCAATGACTTCATAGTCTATCACATTAAAATATGTAGGTTTATCTTGCACTGTGAGTGGATTTTTTTTTTTTACCCATGCATGATTCTGTGAGATCCTGAATTGGCCTATGGGAGAACAGTGGTTCACTGAGTTATGCATACCTTCTAAATTTTGACAGTCTTTATTATGTAATTAAAAAAAATTCACATCTCTTAATATCACCACTGATCTCAACAGAGAAATCTTCAAGTACTGACTGGGAAGCCACTCTCATGGTGGTGGATACAAGTTATCCTAAATTTTCACTTTTGCTTGAGAGCTCAAATTTTATCATTGGCAACAAATAATGTCAGTTTTCCTTGAAATGAAAGACTCTTTTTATTCAGTTTTGGGCAAATGTCTGCCTAATACCCAAGTCTGAATAGTCATAGTTCTTTAAAAATAGTGTTTCATGATAAAAACTAGTTCAATTTGAAATTTATTTGTATAAACACTTTTTCTCAAAATAACCATTATTCTTTAGTATGCAGTAGCGGGTAAGTGTAGTTCCCATTTCATCACACAGGATATTAAAAAGATGTGTGCTCAAGGGTTGAAATTTAATGCAATTAATGATTTTTACTGTTTTATCAAGGACATTCTTAAGTGAAACTGGCTTAAAAAATTTTCTTTTAAACTGTGTGTTGCCGTGAAGAATATAATGATACTAGTGAAGTTTGGTGCCGTTGCCTTGATTCCTGTTAAGGCACCTGCTGTTTTGCCTGCTATTGCTTTTAGTTACATCATCAGTACAAAAGTCAACACAGTGAAAAAGGTAAATCATGTTTCAGTGTTAGAGTGAAGATAGTTTTGACCTCTTAGATCGCCTGAAAGGGTTTTAGAAGGACCCTCAGGGGTCTACGGACCCCATTTTGAGAATTTCTGTTACACTTCTAGCACAAGCTAGAGGGCAAGAATTTTTGTCTCCTGTTCCCTGATGTATGTCTTATACCTAGGTCTGCTATCATCCTGAGACTTTATACCTATCTCTAGTATTAGATTTTCTGACTCTGGATCATCTTTGTTGGTTTACTCTCTCCTTTTGGTGGAGCACATCCTCTAGTAGCTTCCTAAGAAACGGTGAGAGTGCAAGGTATAATTTTGAGACTGCATATTTGAACATGCCTTTATTCTTTTTTTAAAAGATTTTATTTATTTGACAGAGAGAGACACAGTGAGAGAGGGAACAGAAGCAGGGGGAGTGGGAAAGGGAGAAGCAGGCTTCCCGCTGAGCAGGGAGCCCGATGTGGGGCTTGATCCCAGGACCCTGGGATCATGACCTGAGCCCAAGGCAGACGCTTAACGACTGAGCCACCCAGGCGCCCCAAACATGTCTTTATTCTGATCTCTTATTAGATCAGTGATTGGGCTGGATATTGAGAGATTGAAAGTCATTTTCACTTAGGTATGTGAAGGCAAGTCTCTTTTTGTTTTGTGTTGCTGTTGAGAAGCCTTTTGTGATTACCCCATTTTTTTGTTGCTGTTGAGAAGCCTTTTGTGATTACCCCATTTTTTTCTCTTAAGTTTCTAGGATTTATATATGGATGTTGTCTGAATTTTTTGGAGATATGTGTGGTATATGTCTATTTTTTTTTTTAAAGATTTATTTATTTTAGAGAGCTCCCACGTGAGCTGGGGGAAGGGTAGAGGGAGAGAGAGAATCCTCAAACTCCCCACTGAGTATGGAACTTTAGGTGGGGAGGGGACCTCAGTCCCAGGAACCTGAGACCCTGAGCCCCTGAGATCCTGAGCTGAAACCAAAAGCTGGCCACTTCACCGACTAAGCCACCCAGGTGCCCCTGGTGTATATCTTTTATTAATTCATTGTCCTGGGGATTTAAAGCAATTAATATCTTTCAGTTCTAGAAATTCTTTTGAATTGTTCTTTGGGTATTTTTCTTTATCTCTTTTCTGCGTTCTTTTTTTATGGAATGCATATCGATTGGACATTGGACTTTCTGGATTGATCCTCTTTTGCCTCCTGTTTTTTTATCTTTTTCTTTCTACTTTCTGTGAGTCCTTTGACCTTATCTTCTAACCCCATTGTATTTTTTATTACAAATTATCATTTGTGGGCGCCTGGGTGGCTCAGATGGTTAAGTGTCTGCCTTCGGCTCAGGTCATGATCCCAGGGTCCTGGATCGAGTCCCGCATCGGGCTCCCTGCTCCTCGGGAGCCTGCTTTTCTCTCCCTCTCCCCCTCTCTCTCTCCGTCTCTCATGAATAAATAAATAAAATCTTTAAAAAAACAAAAAAACAAATTATCATTTGTTTAAAGCTTTCCTGTTCTTTGGGTGTTCCTCCTGTTCTTGTTTGCTGGATCATCTTCTCCTGTTTCTGAGGATAGTAACTAATTTTTTTCTGCATGTTCCTTGTTTACTACAAGTTGCTTTTTTTCTTTCTGTTTTGGTTTCTGTCTCTTATGATAAAGGCTTTCATCAACGTGACTAGTTACTTTTGTTGTATAATCGCTAAAAAGTTTAAAAAGCTTATAGAGAAAAGTTTACTGTTTAAGGTTTGGGTTTGGTAACTGGTGGGCATTGTTATAGGGTGATTGGATAAGGGCCTGGCCTTTTTTTGGGGGGGGAACTTCAAATATTTATATACCTTTTTTCAGCTACTGTTCAGGTTTTGCAAAGAATCCTCTGCCAGAATTCTTGGATCCAAGCTCACGGAGTGCTGCAGTATTTACCATTAGATTGAAGACCTTCACTTTCCTTTAACTTTTAGTTTAGCATCTTTCTGCCCTCTTTTGTGTGCCCCTGGACCTGTGCTTCATTATTTCATTATTTTCTTAAAAAACCCCACCTTTCCTGCTGGGATTGGGGAGGAGTAGTCACTTGTCTGGCTTTGGGTGGGGGAGGGGGCTTGGGAGATTACTTCTTTTACAGATTTTCAACTCATTCTCTGTGTTTTAGTCTCATGACCTGTTGTGCCTGCTGTGGTATCTGGTGTCTCAAATTCCTGAAGCCTTTCTGATCTTTGCTGTGTGAATTGGCTTTTCACTTGTTGGAATTCTCTGCAGTTGCGTGATATTCAACTTTCTTAGCTCCAAATCCGCCATCTGGTTTTCATTTGCTAAAAATTTATTGACATATCTTGTCTACTGTTACTGTTGTTTTCTCTTTTAGTCTCTTAATTCTTGTGAATTTATACTTTTTTATCCTTTCACTCTCATTTTAGTATTTTTTAACCAGATAATAAGATTATAATAAAAACTCATCTTAAATGGTTATTTGTTGGTTAAGAAAATTCATAACTGTCTAAAGATGAAAACAAGAAAGGAAGGAAAAGCCAGGAAATAGGAAAACTTAGGTGACTGTTATAATTCAATTATGTACACATTCTTTAACGGAAATATACATACACACAGATGTTATATATCATATATATGTGTGAATATTTAAATATGTATATATGTACATTTATATTGTCTATATATGTATAATTTCATAATCATAGTATTTTGAAGCTGGAAAGGGTCATCATGATCTTTTTTTTTTTTTAAA